AATTTTAATGTACCTCATTTTCTATGACCTGAATTGATGTTTTTGTCTAATTAGGCATGATAATAAAATAAGAACAATAATATAATTGAATAATATGATATTCTGGAATGAAGAAAGGAATGAGATTGTTTAATTTGGTGCTGGGCGACAATAATGGAATGAAGTTAGAGCAGCATGCTACTTTAACAGTGACCATTGTCCCTATTGTTTGCTACATTTAAATTTTGTTCCTTTGCCTAATTAATTGAGCAGGGTAATGAAATTAGAATGGTGTGCTAGTTATTAAATCAGTCCATTGTTTCATGTTGAATCCGGGTGAAGTATCCTGTGGCGATATATCCAATGTAACTGTTGTAGGTAGGACGCCAATAGATTTAGAGCAAGCTCGATTATAAATCCACCAATGTTTTCGAAAATAGGGTTTTGTTTTTTATCGATTATATAAAAAACAGCTTAATTGTTCAAATCAAATTTTTTCAGTATCTTTCGTATTTTTATTAGTATACCTCTTGCATCACCGTGAAACTACGGCAAGAAAAAAAAACTTTTCTTTGACTTCGATGTTATCGCGCAGCTTTATTGCCAAGTCAGTACCTACACCAAAGTCAAAAGATTCGAACAGGAACGTTTATACGCGATATCCGGGAGATTTGAGTAAAAAAGACAAGAAAAACCATGAAACATAGCTCACTGGCTACTACTACAATCCAAAAGCAGTTGTACCAGGGGCCCCGCTTACTGCCCAAATTTGGCAAATCAAGTACGTTAATACAATAATGGAGAATATACTTATAACGCGCAACCTACCAAGGTTCGAATCGGGGCCGGACTTGTACGATGAGACACTTCAGGCTATGATAATTGTGAGACTCTCTATAACAATGACGTCACAAACAGTTTGTAAACATTGACCATAATTCGAATTCCATGAAAGATGTGAAAGAGGATTGCTGGACTCCTCGCCGTCGCAGAGTAATTCATCTAATGTCGTAACGGCTTATCGGTTGCGTCTTTCTCCGCCAACCACGTTGGCGGACGCATTGTGCGCTGCACCTCGGGGAGGCGACTATGGGCAAGTCATCAATATTTTTATATATTTGAGTTTCGAAAGGTTTATTGCGAACGAGAAGCGATTCGAAGCATTTCGTCTCATATCCGCTGCGCCAACTTGACAAAAACATCAACGTTCCTCAATTACTTCGTTACGCAATTACGTCGCCACGTAGCGGCTCTGCGTTTCTTATGAAAAACGCATATCACTTTCCCTCGCAAGTGTGTAACGTCATTAACCGAATGGCATACGTTTAAAGCGGGTTCACACTATGTTGGAACTTTAAATCCCGCTTTCCACATTATTCATTCCACGAGCTGATGAAATGCTCGAACTTTCTCGCGAAAAATTTGCTATCTCGAACGAGGTGTTCCCACAGTTGCTCCAATAATTACAGAATGTAAACAGTTTCATGGCTATGACATTGTGCGGCCTCATGAATTCCATCAATGCGTACAAGTTGTACGTTACAACGTACAAAATTTGAAGACCAGTCGCCACGACTGGTGTTACAGCTCTTATCGACTTATCGGGAGGATATTTCGATTCTTTTGCGTCGGAAAATGTAAAATATTTACCAGGTGATTCAGCGACGCCATCATGTTCTCCACAACTTGTTACTTATCGATTTGATAGGTATTTGTCTGTCTGTTAGATGCACGCGATAGCGATATCTCACGAAAGCGAGATTAAATCTGCTCCAGATTTTGCATGTGCATTCATCATATATCGGACCAGAAGCCTATTGATTTTGGATAAATTATGTCGTATAATTAGCGAGTTATCAATTAATTAGTGATGGGACACAAGGTGTCACTATGGAGTAAGAGCGCTGTTTTGGGGGATCCCCTAACTTTCAATCGATAAGTCTTCGGTCTCTGACCGATATTCTCTTTTGTAATTTAATAATATCCAACAGTGAAGAATCAGCCTTGATGTTTCCGGCGGAACCGCATAAACACGCGGGGTTCCAATTATTTGGTTTGGCTATTTAGTTACGTCCCATAATCAGATAACTAACATATATATCATGACCTTTGCTTTTATCAATTATTATCTATGTTCAATCAGGATTTGTTTGAATATACAGCTTTCAACCGCGGCCGGCTATGATACTAGCGTAATCGAAACTCCAACTGTGAACGACAAAATGCCCCACTGCGTAATCTAGCATTTGGCTAACGACGGCCTCTCGTCCGGTTACCATTTAATGTCGGGTATGGGATTAGTTAGTTATTTGTTTTCTGGACTTGATGATAGACCAGCGGTTACGTGAACCCCCCTATGGAGACGAGAAATCCCTCATGGGAATTCGAACCTGTGAACCCACACAAAGTAAATCCGGCTTTTAGGGTTCAAAGATTTATCAATAACGAACATTCGAATTCGCCTGTGTTATACAGTGGAGTTGGACCTTCGAGTTAAGTAAATAAGTGTTTTTGAAGGGTGGTGTGCAAATGAATTTAGATTCAAACTTGCCCGCTGATTGCCGACGCCTGGTTTAAAATAGTCGATCGGTACATTACTTTCTGGAATCGGCTCCTAACCCGTGTACTTATCAACGACGTGTGTATTACCCGATAGAACCTTGGCCCGAGAGAGCAATGCAGTCCTAACATTTATATATATATATATATCGGAATTTTTAACACATTTAAATGCAAAAGCGATTAAAAAATAATGCGACCTCTACCTCTGCTCACATCTACGAATACAGTAATTCCAAATTGCAGAATTATATTCCACATGACAAACTTTTCTGACGTATTTCCCTGGTACTTTTTACAAAATTTTCGCAAATTTTATAATGCGATTCTACTTTCTCGAAGTTGGAATCAACCAGATTGATTTTTTTTCCCGGTATCAAATAGTTCAACAATGCCTGGGTCAAAAAGTAACCAATTAATCATTGAACGACATTGTTTAATGCTTGTTTCTAATTGGAATATCCTTATTAGGTAATAATCAGGCGTCAGTGTAGCTGAAAAACCGCCTTGCACCAAACCCGAAAACTGCTCAAGATAAGTACAATGTTCATAGGTGCATGTATTCATTTTAAAATTTCTTTGATTATGTGCGTAATAAATCACTACGGAATCCGGGGTGTCTCAAAAATGTTGTGTGACACTTGTCCCAGCGTTAGGCGAGAGGGACACTTGGGACACGACATTTTCGAGACACCGCCTTTCGTCTTTTAAAATGAAAACAAAAAGAGGAACTCAAGGGATGTGGTGAGACGAGACGATGATACCGTGGTCGCTAAATAAACAGAGACACAGCGTAACTTTTCGCCAGCGTTTCAAATGAACTCTTACACTGGTGTCTCCAAAATGTCGTGTCCCACGTGTAGTTGAGTTTCCCACTTGTACACGTGGGACACGACATTTTGAAGACACCGCTCTGGCGCTCTTACACCATCCTACCACCATGATCGGCAACTCACTCACAAGAACCAATTGTAATTGAATTTGTTTGCAAATACTTTATTGAATAAAAACCCTATTTTATCGCAATTTTCAACTCGTCACGAGTTTCAAGGCATTTATTTACTCATGTAACGAAACTGTCGACGTAGAGACGACGTAGTTCACTTTAGTGTATTATTTCGTATTCGTTTATTTGTTCGTATGAGTTTATTTTTATATTCATATGGATAGAGCAGTGTTTGCCAACCCGAGTCCGCGGTCTCAAATGAGTCCGCGGAGCGTTTGAATGAGTCCGCAACGAGCCAGAAATTCAGCCACATTGCGATTTAAATAGATAGATAGTTTATATGAATACTCAATAATATACACAAATTTAAAATGGAGAATTCTGGAGGGCGAGCAAAACCTTAAAAAAGTTAAAAACATGAGAGATATTATGTGCCCGCCCACCAGCGCACACACAAAAATAAATTACAAAAAAACACAAACCTAGTAAAAACGAGGCTTGGACCAGAAATAATCAAACAAAAGATACTCGAATGTATTGAAATTACGGGCTGTTATATTTTTGAAACACCTAAGCTGTTGCAGTAATAATGACCAATATAGGCCAGCAGTACGCTGTTAATTGAATGTTTGTTTGTGATATTGCGATAAACGGAAGATCTTTAGCGTAAACCTTGATTAACGGATCGAACATTCAACTATTACAATAGTAATAGAAGGAGAGGAAGTAAATATGAGGAATAAATTTGAATAATAAAATAGCAATTTTACGCCACGGCGATTAACACATGCAGATTCTCTGTTCATTTGAGGATTTGAGCCTCACAACACAGACATAAGGTCGTGTTTTCTGCATCCGAGTTGGATGATGCTTTTCGGATGTACGAATGGCAATTAAATTGCATTTTAATTCAAATATTATGTTATGAATAAAAACGTGGTCTATCACGTCTAATGTGACAAAAATTTGCCAAACATGTGCTTAAATAAAATGCGTGTTGCGAACGGAGAAGTGCGGTTTAACCGTAAATATATACTACCGTAAATATATACTACTACGGTTTAACCTCTGCAGTCGGTGATTTGCACCACATCGATTGAGGTGCGCTCTTCGCGTTGCCCTCTATCAAATCTCGACGTGATGTAGGTCACGTACCGTCTGCCGGCAGCGGTGTTACGGTTGCGACTCTTCAATGATATATAAGCCCGTCTGCATTCGGTATACTTACTATCATTATTAAAATCGAATAGCTAAGGTTGGACAAAAGTTATTATTTCGTAACAATGACAGCGATATTTGCAGTTTGTTTACAAATCAGCATTTCGTGAATTGTTCAATGACTCCAACTGCCTAAAGATACAGAGATCTTGTAGTAGAATACCGGTACCGGTACCGGTAGATTAGAGGTACCGGTACCGTATGGTACGTTACCGTGAATTAAGCTTCTAGGTAGTTGTAGTTCGCTGTGCCCTTTCTGGTCGAATAGTTCCAGAATATTTTATTCCTGATCATCAATTTATGAAGTCTTTTTTTACCGTTTTTAGTTCAATCAAGTTTATTACAGTACCGGTATTAAGTTGCAATAACTAATTCACAATGTCGACTACTATTACCAAGATTAGAGCTCGCCAGATCTATGACAGCCGTGGAAACCCCACAGTTGAGGTTGATCTTGATACCCAGTCTGGATCATTTCGTGCAGCTGTTCCCAGTGGAGCATCAACAGGAATCTATGAGGCCTTGGAACTAAGAGATAAAGATAAAGCATTTCTAGGAAAAGGTGCAACAGTACAATGTTTTCTACTATTTTATAAATCTTTTTACAAATTAGTGGGCCTACTACAAATTTGTTACTTATATTTTTAGGATTATGAATAAAAGTGTATGAAATAGAAAATTTAAGCCGCTGATTTGTTTTCAGGTGTTTCGAAGGCAATTAAAAATGTCAATGAAATCATTGCACCTGCACTTGTTGGCAAGAAGCTTAATCTAGCAGATCAAACAGCTGTAGATAAAATTATGCTAGATCTTGATGGAACTGCTAACAAGGGTAATATTTACTATTTAGTTCTGTAATAGCATTTTATCTTATTAATTTGTATTATTTTTTCATCATTTAATTTTGATATTTTAGCATATCAGCAGGTGTAAAGATGAATCATTTTCAGAAAATAGTTTTGTTTTGATTGATAAATTTAAATAATAAGTGATGTATTCACACAATGAATTTTCACAGTAGAAATTGTCAAATAAACAAATGTTTGCTCTATTTCATCATAGATTTTATGTGGGTATGTTGAATATATAATATGTTTATTATAATAATTTATTATAACCATATCATAATTGCGAATTCTTCCGCGAACATAATTTTTGAAATATATTTTATTTTGTTATAAGACACTCACCTATAAACCATTTTACAGCGCCTTATTCCTAAGTTTCTATTTTTAACAATAATATATCAAAAGATGATATATGCATATCATTAAATCTTTTTTTTATCACACAGCAAAACTTGGAGCAAATGCAATACTGGGAGTCTCGTTAGCGGTAGCAAAAGCTGCAGCACATGAGAAAGGCGTTCCATTATACAGACATTTGGCTGATCTGGCTGGAAATGCAAATGTTTTACTGCCAGTTCCTGTAAGAATGAATTACTATTTTGAGTATTAATAAAAGTGTTTTGGTATTGCATAGGTTCCTATTGTTGTTGAGCATGAGTTGATGTTCATACTTCCCATCATGAAACTGTAGTATATTCTGTATGGCTTATGAGAAATTAAGAAAGAAGCAAACTAAGAAGCTGATCTTAACGATTATATTTCTTGCATGCTCACTGCTTATGAATGACTAATTTCTCCAGTACCATTATCACCTGATCGAAAAATAGTTAACGATATATGGTATAAACTTTGTAGAACAACATATTAAAGTGGTTATTAGTAAAATATATACCATAACTCTGCCTTAGACTATTATTCCCTTTTCAGTCTTTCAATGTTATCAACGGAGGAAGTCATGCTGGTAACAAACTTGCAATGCAAGAATTCATGATATTTCCTTGTGGTGCTTCCACTTTTTCTGAAGCGATGCAAATGGGAGCAGAAACCTATCAGACCCTCAAATCTGTAATAAAGAAGAAATATGGACAAGATGCAACCAATGTTGGGGATGAGGGCGGATTTGCTCCTAACATCATGAATAACCTTGAGGTAGGTGTGTGAAAGCAATGAAGAATAAAGCTAATTGTGTTTTTCCAATTTTAATTTTTTAGCTGAGATTATTTATTTTGTAATCTGATACTTTTGTGTTCAAATGATATATGTATAATATTGATGTCAAATATTCAGGCTTTAGACCTCATACAAGCGGCCATCTCACAAGCAGGATACGAGGGAAAAATTAAGATTTGCATGGATACTGCTGCGTCTGAATTTTGGAACAAAGAAAAAGCTAGATACGACCTTGACTTCAAAAACTCCTGTGATGGTGATGTGTCCGATACGGAGAGATATGTAATTACTTTTTTTTGAAAAGATTTATATACAGGTTTATAAGTAAAACATGACCTGTAAATTTTATGAATATGTTTTCGTTGAAAATGGATGTCATTGGAAATTTAGTCAACTTATATCAATTTTCATAAATGATTCGAATTGTAAAATGTGATAACAATGAAAAAGAATTACCCTAATTCAATAGATCTTCCAATCGGCAATTGAATTATTCATTACTGCTTTCAGAAAACTCCTGCAGAACTGGGAGAGTTGTACAAAACATTCATTAGTAAATACCCAATTGTATCAATTGAAGATCCATTTGATCAGGATGATTGGGAAGGATATTCGGAATTCACAGCAGCTGTTGGAGAAAAAACACAAGTTGTGGGGTAAGCTGTTTATGCTTTCTTCTGCACTTTAAATTCTCAATCTTCTATTATGATATGCATTTTTATTTCCAGTGACGATCTTCTGGTCACTAATCCCACTCGTATCAACACAGCATTGAATAAAAAGGCATGCAATGCCCTCCTACTTAAAGTAAACCAGATTGGTACTCTGTCTGAGGCTATTGAAGCGTAAGTAGAAAAAGTTTTGTTTGATTACCATTGGCTATAGTACACTACAGATAGAACATTTTTGACATTTTCTTTCAGTTGCAAACTGGCACAAAAGTATAACTGGGGAGTCATGGTTTCCCATAGATCTGGAGAAACCGAAGATAGTTTCATTGCTGATCTTGTTGTTGGTCTTTGCACTGGTCAAATTAAGACTGGTGCACCCTGCCGATCCGAACGACTAGCAAAGTACAATCAGATTTTGAGGTGAGAGGCATTTGCTCTTACCTGAGAGTCATCTAGTATAATAATATATATAATGAGTTTATATATTTAAATGTTTATATATATAAATGTTAATTTTTCATACAGAATTGAGGAAGAACTGGGTGACAAAGCCAAGTTTGCTGGAGCTGATTGGAGAACTCCTAAAATGTGATGTCCATATTCTAGCATCAGTATAGTGTGAATTATATCTTGTGCTTCAAATTATATATCTCGTTTTCATTTCTTGCTATGTTAGGTTTTTGCAGTTCCAATTGTATGATTATTTTATTTACTGTATCTGGATTACTCAAGTTCAAATTGTATTAATACTGTGCGACTGCCGTTGCCATGAATATTAATTATTTTCTGTATAATGTTCAATTAATCCTATAGCACTTTGCATATTATTGTATGAACACATATGGCAAACAGGATAAGTATTTATGCTGATTATGTTGGATTGGTCTTGGGCTAAACGTGCAGTTGTGGGATCATATCTGATTTATCTAATAAACGGCGGGGGTATACCTGTCACGGTATGTATAATATTCGTGTAAGTTTTAACAGCGGTTGCTAGACTAGTCCCGTGGGCTTCAAACCAGATTCTTGATGATTGGTAGGTTCCGCATACTTAAAAATAGCGTAGTTTACTATGGAAGTTACGGTCGCAAGGGATACTGGTCAGATCTGAAAATATCGTTTAAACTAAAGGCTCATTTGAAGAATACATATACGAAATATTTTCACGCAATTTTAGACTTTTCCGGTCGCAGGCTATGATTTTTGTCTTAGACCTGAGAACACAAATGCCAACATACATGCAACCGACGACTAGCGTTTCATGTTTGTCGTTTCTAATGTTATGCATCAGATATATGTAAAGCACGTTCTGTTAATGTGGCTTACCTGCGCAATTAGCGAATATCATCAACTATATATTACCGAAAGATGAGTTATTGGCCTTCGCACTGGCCAAATTACGACTTACACACCATGCCGAGTTAAACGACTTTCAAGGTACAACAATATTTTGAGTTGCATATTCATCATTACCTGAAGTATTAGTATGAAAACCGTATTAATATTTTAAAACCAGTTTTCGATACAAAAGCATATTTCGTGGTGCATATTACCAGTGATTTTACTCTGGGTTCACTGGGGGTTTGTATACTCCAACCACCGTGCCTAATGTGCCGCGAAATGATTTTGGTGTGCCGCAAAGAAATTTCATTTTTGAATTTATTCCAATTTCCAATTCATCAAATTTCGCAAGAATTACCCTACGGCTTTTGCTAACAAACAAACGACAAATTTGAGAAGTCGTATTTGGGTATTGTTTCAATTCTAAGTTTTGCATGAACGCACCAACAGCGTTTCGTAAAATTGAAAATGTCAAACAAGGTTGATAAATTATTGTGCGAATTTTTTCCGAAATTTTACCAAGGAATTATTAATGACTAGTAGAAATGCCATTACTAACGATTTATCGAATCATTATTTTTTAATAGGGATTCACGCAATGCATTTGCCTGGTTTTTATTCACTACCTGATGTGAAAATAAAACAGACATAATAAAAAAGTAAAATCATATATATATATATATGGAAGTAAACTATCGTCTTCACAGGTATCCGCATTCCGGCGTCAGAAATGATAATATTGTTAGCTTAAACTTGAGACAGGTAATTTACACACAGTGGTGAGAAAGATCAAAGCCGGCGCAAAAGATAAAAATCCGAATAAATTCCCGAATTCAGTCCTTATTAGCTGTCTTTATCAAATGTCGCCGATATGAACGCATAGTTCTCCCAGGAATATAAAGCCAAACTTCGACGTTCGCCGTTTTGTAATAATTGGTCCTTGTAAAATAATAGGTCGGGTGGAAATAGCTTACCAACATTGGAGTGTCTAGCGTTCTGGGTGCCTGTTGTATACCGTATATATATATATACTAAAAAAAACGATATTCGACAATTCGTTTAAAATATTCGATTTGATAAAAATATTTTATTTTGCCCTCCCTTGCGATATGTAATCACGCCAGTAATCTGGCAAAACGCGTGGTAGTCCAAACATTGATGCAATGAAACTTAATAAAACTTTCATTAAATTTAGTAAATTGCATTATTTCACGAAACCGTGATGGAATTGACGATTATTTCATATCTCGAACACAAAAACGGTTACCTTTTTCGAATAGTTTCAGGCGGTCTGAAAACCCGAATAAGCGTTTCGACATAGTAAATCCTATAATCATTGCCATCAATTCGAAATTCATAACGCGAAAAGATACGCCCAGCGGTTTTACCCATTTAGTGTTTTTATCGATAATAATTAACTGTTGTATTGAAATACAGTTTATTTGCCGTTCTCATTTCTTTTGTAAGTGCCGACAATAACACTATTGAATGATTTTGGCAATGAGAGAGACATATCAAATTGTAACAAAAAAGAATTAGGTTGTGTAAAAGTGAGAATACTTGCGACAATAATAAGGGCGTAACGTGGAAGGGTGAGCAAAACCGAAGCGCGTGATCGGCGGTGCGTTTGGAGAACACGTATTACCCGTGCGGCCGCGCATCTTTTACAATAATTTGAAGTGCCCTGAAGGCGCTCTCGTGTACATTATGAATTAATCGTTTGTTCGTGCTCGACTATCGCAATTTTCGGGAATGATAATTTTGTAAAGCGGATGCAATGTAATATAATAATAATAATATAATGTGTACAATGTGTGTTAAATACAATGTGAAAAAATACAAATACAATGTGTTTAAATATATATAGAAGAAATTATGGGGGCCGCACCCCGCGTTAGGAGCGTGTCTCACTCAGAGAATTAGGAGTATGTCTCTCTTACATTTGTCGACAACTTGCAGCGTAGTAAAAAAGCACCAGGCATAGCATTCCTACTGACATTTCCCATTTATAATATATACCTGGTACCAAATAGAGGGTATGTTGTATTTACATGAATAATCCGGATATCCAAAGTTCTCAATAGTGTGCCGAGATATAAAAAAAAAGTTGGAAACCACTGCTCCAGAGCACCCCAATTCAATATTACGTGACTTATATTTTCAATTTTATTTCTAATAAAGAATTTAAGATGAACTAGGCGACAAAGCCAAGTTTGCTTGATGGATTCTGATGTACATATACTTTTATAACCGGGTTCCATTACATTTGAACCCACGTACATTTGAACCCATGGCAATTGCACCTGTATGCTATTGCACCTATGGAATTTTTTTTGTTTCACGGATAGTTAAACCCATACTAACCCTAACCCATGGGTTTCAGCACCCACATATAGAATGAACCCGTGGATATACGCATGGGTTCAAATGTACATGGGTTCAAATGTACGGTCACCTTATAACCGATATGGTGTGAATTATATTTTTTGCATATATATATCGTTTTTTTTTTTGCTCTACAAATTATTAGTTGTTTGCAGTTTCAATTATAACCTTATTGTATTTACTGTAACTTATGTATTAATATTGTGCGACTGCCGTTGTCTTGAATATTAATTATTTTAGGTACAATATTTTGGTAATTTTACATTACTTTGCATATTCGTGTATGAACGAGCATGTAACAACTAAGATAACAATTCATTTGAATTCGTACCTGATTGATTTTAGGCTCTTGTAGGATGATATCTGACGTTCATAAAGTTAGTGCTGGGGCTGGTAGTGGGCTAATCAAGAAAACAAGACCATTTATTTCGGCATTCTAAAAACACAACCCACAATGAATCAAACAAATTATATATATATATATATATATAACAGAACTGCCTGAAAAACGAGTAAACTTAAAAATAAAGATTATAACGTGTAACGCACCAAAATAACACACATAACAGTATTTATACAATGACTCGATGAGCAACAGTAAGAAGCTTGTCGGGCGTTTCGTACGATAGAAAATTGAGGCACGCGCACAAGTTGAAAAAAAAACACGACAAAGTACAAGGTGTATCGGTCGCAATGGCGTTACAGTCATGTCAACTTACTTGGATAATAATTAAAAGCAGTGATGAGATTCAATTTTTTTGTCAGCCGGTTGCCCGGTTCCATCACAAAAGTCATATTTTTCACCCGGTTCTATTACAAAAAATCATTGACAGTAACCAGTAATGCTGACCGGTTCGCTGATCCCATAAAATTCCGTAAGACGGTTCTATAGGACCGGTGCGAACGAGCTGAATCCCACTACTGATTACAAGTGATTGGAGAGAATACAAAACAAACAAACACTGGAACAGGCATACTTGCTACATGAAAATACCAAAATTAGAAGGCAGTCTGATTGTTGCATATATTTAAAAACTAATAACATGCAAGGTTTCCATAGATTTAAGATGAACAGAGGATATTCCTTGCATTGAATAAAAGTATCGGTATACTACTATCACAGAAGTCTGCATTATTCTGGTTACTTTTCTATTCAATTCAAGAGTCTTGCTGCACACTTACACAAATATATTTCTGTAACGTTTCGTCTGACCGGGGTCAGACTTCTTCAGACAAGCATTTTAGTCTGATTTTGATAGTTGTAAAATGCTTGTCTGAAGAGGTCTGACCCCGGTCAGACGAAACGTTACAAAAATATATTTGTGTAAGTGTGCAGCAAGACTCTTGAAATGAATAGTTATTTTCACTCTTGCTATAGCATCTTGCGTTATACGCATACGGATCCATCTGCGCAAAGGCATAGGGCAAGGAAAGGTAGTTAGTTTCACGTAACCCCAACTGTTAGTTCTGGTTACTTGTTTGTATTTCTCTTGAAACTTCCGTAGTCCATTTAGGCAGATCCATCGGTTTATATATTAGTTTAACATATTATATTTGTTTTCGTTTTCATACGGTCTCCAACTCTTTTCGGCTTGACACGGTCACAGTTCTGTGACCATAGTTCTGAAATTAGATTCAATGTCGGATTTATAAGCATTTGGAATTAAGGATTTCATTCCAAAGATTCCAAATTGATCCCAAACGTAGGAATCCAGTATGTAACAACAGTTATACTTAGTGGTTATCGGCACTTTTTGCTGTTCTCACGCGCGCAGATAGGACATGATTCATTGTTTCCTGTCGGATAGAGGTTGAAAGATATTAATGACTGACTGCACACTTGTTTCAGCGTGTACGTACGATGTATTAATTATACTCATTGATTAATATCACCAAATTATTCACACACCAATGCAGCGTAGCCGTAGTCAGTGGTTGCGAATGCGCAGTCCCACGAGATTTGGAAGTTTGGAACAGATTATTGCGGTTTAGTAGGTATGTATGTGTAAAATGAAAACAACAAAGATTTTAAGTAGTTCGGGGTGATAATCAGGAAAAATAAAAATATCGTTTAGCGGCGCATTTAATATGCATATATAGCATATGCAATAAGATTTTAATGCAATTTGCAATGAAACTTTCGTTGT